GGGAAAGATATCAACTGTGTTTTTCTTCCTATTTTTAATAAACATAAGTTCTGCTTTGATCTCATCAGGATTCGTGTGTTTTTTTATGATGTGTATCATTAATGAAAACCAATATATAAAGTGTGGATTTGATTTTGGCAAAAGATGATAACAATTGAAAAAACATTTTGTATTGGTGAGTATATCTACAGCTTGCAGGGCGTTTTGCATTTGCTCATAACTTTTGTTGTTTAGAAGCAGCCACAGCTCAATGTTTTAAATCACCCAGTAGAAATGTGTCCTTTGGATGATAACACTGACACTAATATGGCAGCCAAAACATGTACAGCGCTGTTTGAAGTCAGTGGGCTCATGTACAGTAAATAAGTCAACACCATGGCAACAGCCTGCAGCTAATGCCATTCATATTCCCTCACAGAGCCTGCCTGTGGTGGCCTGGAGCCAAATCTGTTCAGGGAGCTGAGAGGGATGCAGGGTTTACACGCGGGCAATAGGTGCAGGAAGCCACCTATAGGATCCGCTTTTGTTCTTAAAGGTGATTTAAGTGATAAAGCCTGAGGGGATTAAGATATGAAGCTGGCAGGGATGGGAAGTTTGTGGTGGTTTTGACTTGGCATTGGAATAAACCGTGTGTTGGCATCAGTGTGCTATCAGGTCAGCCTCCAAAGCTCCTGGCAGTGTCTTAAATCTCAATTTCCCCTCTATGTCAAGCCCTCATGTTGAAAACGCGCTGCTGAATCACTGCTTCATGCGCCTGTGAACCCGTCTGGTTCAGGCTGTTTATTTTCTGCTTTCTTATTCATGTGGCAGGGCTTTTAATGTTTCTGTTGATGTGTATCATAGGTTATGAAAGAAAATAGAGCAGCATGTTTTAATTTTCCTGCAGGGAGCATTTATAGATAACATCCCACCTCTTACAAATCCCCTGAGAGCCCCATCATTGATTTCATAAAGTATAGCAATAAGGTCTATAACTGACAAACATACACAGATTTGTGAGTACTTAATGAAGGCAAAGCTAAGCTGTATCCTGAGCTATATCGGACTTACAGCAGAGTATCTGACCTTTCATAAATCTATGGCATAAATTGAGTCAGTGATGGTTTTAGATAGTACAAATACGTTGGTTCACGAAGCAGTCAGTGAGTAAATGGGCACTGAATGAAAGTCATTAGGAAAACAGATGTCAACATGTCTCAGGTTGGATTTTTATAAAGATGTTCTCTAGCAGAGTGTGTGTGTTTGTAGCAGATGCTGCCTCTAAGCCTTGGAGATTGAGGGGAATGTTTAAATTAAGAGATTATTGAACTGATGGTTTGTAAAGCTAAGCCTTTAAATGGGGGTAGCAGTTAAATATTCTTCCACTCTATCTGTGTCGATTTAATTATTTATCAACCGCTCTTTAAAGGGCTGGCCGTGGGTTCAGTGGACCTTTTAAAAATAGTCCAAACATCCAATTAGTATTGCGAGTGATGTGCTGCAGCATATCAGGCAAGCATGTCCCTCCAGCAAGCCTTCAAATGCTGGTTTGATTTTTCATGCCAGACGCTGTACATCCAAGGGGCAAATTAATCTCAGAAATCTGATAACGGCCCCTCAAAAAGTTTGAAATGGCTGCATGAGAGGAAATATCAGCTTTGCAGTTGCATCTCATGAAAAGATTATATCCTCATCAAGCTGCTATGTTGTGCATCAAATAAAGCCATTGCTTTTATTTTTTTGGGGCCTTTTCATGCCTTTATTTGATAGAGACAGCTGAAGATTGTCAGGAAAGGGGGGTGGAGAGAGGGGGGATGACACATAGCAAAGGGCTGCAGGTCGGATTCAAACCCGGGCCACTGCAGCAACTCCCTATATGGGTTGCCCGCTCTACCGACTGAGCTAACCAGGCACCTGCCAATGCTCTTATTACCTTCTGCAGAATATGCCTTTTGGATCAGCAACCAGTGTGCATGATGCAGTTGTGAATAACCTGGTGAGGATGACAGTAGGTCTCAGGGCACTTGACGAGAGGGTCAAAGCCTGGTCTTGGGCTCACTGGGCTGCCATGGCACTGCAGACGTGATAGTGCCACCCCCAGTGACAGCAGCAGATGGTGAGTGGGCCCCTGGCTTTATCCTAAGGGCTCCTGGGCAAGGAAGGCAGGGCAGCCATGCGCAAAATACAAGGCCACTGATTGGACCGTGTTTCTTAAGATGCCACAGGCTGATAAGACACTGTGAGGAGCAGCGCTTACATGCTTGAGAAGACGTATAATTATGTTAACCCGGTAGTTTCTCTGGACCTTCCACTTTCCCATCATGGTAGACATTGTAGCTTATTAGGTCAGTTAATGGGAAGTCTCACTGGGGCATTGGCTGGATTGCAATCTTCAGAAATATGTTTGTAGGAGGTGTCAGCAACACTAATTTTATGATTTTTGATGGAGAAGATCAAAATATGCACAAAAGGTATGGATAACACTTGAATAATTTATGCAAAAACGATTACACAGATGCAAAAAACAAGCAGACATTTTAATAAATTATGGAAATGTATCAATTCCAATATGTCTTTGCATTATTAACAAAAGCAAACAAGTGCATTGTTTTCTATGTTTGAGTACATGAACTCGAGAAAGAGAATATCTTATAAATTCATTCAGAAAATGAGTGCATTGAAACCTGATTATATTCCTACATTCCTATAAAATGCTAGGGACCATGATTTAAAGGGCAATGAAGCAAAATTCAGAAATGCTTACTTTTCCACAAATGAAGCTAAGCCCTTTGCTGAGACATCTCCTTTGCTGTATAAGGAGAATCCGGCTTTGCACTCCCTTTAGTGTAAAACTGCAGAGGCACATACATCCGGTCAAACTTTCAATTACTTGATATTCTGGGTGCTAAAAGGCAGTTTCCGTTCAAGGCTTCAGCAGTTAATCTTACAGCTAGTGCCAGCATTAAGGCGATAATCATGAGACATGTGACAAAAGCACAAAAACTTTCCCCTAAAGGGAAGCGGAAGAGACCCCTGAGGATTTCTCCAACCAGCCAAATTGGTGGGGCATCAAAGTCTCAAACCTCGCTGCTCTTCGTGTTGTCTCTAGACCTTTGTTCTGATTCAGCTGCACATAGCCTGAAGAATATCTTTCCATGTTGTAGAGTATTGTGGTCAAACACTTCTGGATTACTGCTCATTAACTCTGAGAACCCGCTGGGCTGTGGTTAATACACGAGACTTAATGGCCTGTTCCAGTCTCATCTCCCCTACACTTTTAGGGGAGGGTTATATGCGATGACAGATGCCCAGAATTAAAGCCCACAGAGCAGAATTAACTTTTCATGTATTTCTTCCTCACATCCTTGTTGTTTCTTTTTGGTTGTTGCTTGCACAGCCTCTGGCTCACTTCTTCTTCTGGTGTCTTAATTGCAATTTCATCAAGAATTTAAAGCCATGTAGCCTTCCCTATTCTTGTCACTGTCACTCCAAACTAGCCACCGCAAGGGACTTGAAGGGTATTTAAAGCAGCTATTGTGTGTCATAAGATAAGTCAGGAGCAGCTCGGGGAAGACTCACTTTCATCATTGTGGTACAGCCGGACCTCCTCTTCCCCTTCCGAATCCATCCTTCTCTCACTCTCCCTTTCATGGCTTTATTACTCAAAGGCTCAAGCAGCTCAGCAGAATATAAATGAATAAGGGCTGTAGGATGGGGGAAATGAGAGAAAAAGGTCCTAGACAAAAATTGCATGTGCACATCAGCATTGAGACTATCACAAGGACTGATCTTTTATGCTTCACACCACTCAGTCGGGTTGTCTTGCAATATGAAAATTTCACATAATAGATTCATTACCCGTGTCCATGACAAATGGGAATCTCAGGATGCTGAGTTGTGCATGTGGGTGTGTGTTTTTGTGAGCGTGCATGGCAAGTTTGTTACTTTTAGAATTAGTACATCACATAAGATAAGGGGTTTTTTTATCATGGAAAGAGTTCACGTTAAAGAAAATGTTTTACATTTTGGGAAATATGATTATTTATCACTTTCTGGCAGAGAGTTAGATGAGGAGATTGATACCACTGTCATGTTGTGAATAGTACCCATCTTCTAATTTTTCTCTCAGTAAGAGTGCAAATAAGTGTATTTTCCCAAACGTCAAACTATTCTTATAAAGGTTACAGTTTACACACACAGACACGCACATACACAGGAATATTGATTAAAGCTTAAGCTTTAAACAGCATCTTTTCCTCCCTCACCTCGTCATGCACACACACACAATTGTCGACATGACCCTTTCTACCTACCATATGCTTTACACAGATAGTTCACACTGCTGGCGTTTCTCTTTTCTTGCCCTGTTTTCCTCTCACACACACTCACACACAAACAATGAGTCATGAATAAAAGCACAGCCAGGAGAAACAACTCACACGCAGCTGCACACACTTACAAATAGAAAGAGGCATATATATGTGAGTGCAGAAACAAAAAGATGGACTGTAAGTCATGATTAGGCATTGTTTGTTTTGTAAATGAGCCTGTGGGGAAAAAAAGCTTATCTGCATTCCACTGTAATCAAAACATATGTGGAAAAATCTGCACACGCCACTGTAAATATGTCTTAATATGAATGACAGCGATCATTGGCAGCCATCTATCAGGCTGGACCATATGTTGCTTTGGGTGGGGAGGGAATGAGGGCTTACCGCAAAGCCTGCCTTATCCTCGGGCATTACAGTCTCTAAGAAAGGATTTACTCTTTAATTCTTGATTAGATAGAATTTTCTCCCTAGTGTGCAAGCACAGTGATACACTGAGCAGAGATAACCTGCCCCATTGGGAAAGTGTGTGTGTTTGTGTGTGTGTGTGTGTGTGTGTGTGTGTGTGTGTGTGTGTGTGTGTGTGTGTGATTTGTATGTTCATTGTCCATTGGCAAGGCTCCCTCTCTGAAACACACACACGCGCACACACTCCCGTACACAACAACCTGGCCCCCCTGATGTGCCATCCCATTTAGTGCCTGGGCTTTTAACACATTGTGATAGGGCTATTATTAGAAGAGATGAATTATCAATCAGGAATTAATCCTGATTGATGTGTTTGCCCCAACTGGAAAAGGACCACACTCACTGCTACACTGTTTGTTGTCACCTCTGCGATAAGAGAAGGTGGTTCTTTCGTATTTTTTTTTCTTCAGGAGGTGACATGAGAGAGAAGAGGATTATTTTTTTTCATTTCTGTGATCAAACCACTAGTTCCACCAGCTTCACCTACTCAGGACGTGAGGAGACCACTGAGGAAGACATTCATTTATTTAGTTCCTTCACTCATTTATCTTCCTCCCCCTCATCTCTTTGCCTGACTGGCTGCTGAGCTGACTGACTGCCTGGATGGTTGGCTCCCTCTCTCACTGGACTCTCTCTGGCGCTTCACTCACACACTGCGTGAGCTTCGCTGAGGCTGGGGTGGGAGAAAGACAGTCGGGCTGCACAGGCTTTGGGAAGTGGGAGCTCTGCTAGATTTCTCTCTGTGTCTGTTTAAGTGGACTATTAGATGAGAGAAGGGGAAATATCTGGCTCTCTCTCCTCCAGCACTGACCACTGACCATTACTACTGTGCTGCATCCATGACTTTACATACCTGGCTTGTGTATGGGCTTGGATTTATCTTGGTTTGGGCACTCTTCTTGACACAGGGTGAGTAAGATTAATTTTGGTATTGAAATGTATGAGGAATTTTGTTGCTTAGAGATATGGACAGGGTGTGTATGTGGGTCTGTGTGAGTGTGTGTGTGAGTGTGTGTGTGTGTGTGTGTGTGTGTGTGTGTGTGTGTGTGTGTGTGTGACACATGCATGTTTAGATTTGTATGTGACAGACAAGAAAAAGTGCGCTGAGCACTAATGATATCACAGATACAAAAATCTTCACTCACAACAGCCTTTTTTAGTGATCAATAACATAATGACCAGTCAAATAAATTACATATACTGCAGAATATAAACACAGTAAATGTGATGTAAAAATTTATATTAAAAAAAAAAACAGTAGAATTATAGAAAATAGGCTGATGAATGTTGTGGACTAACTGATTGGATCACATTAATATAATGAACGACCATGTTAAAAGATGATCCCCGTAAGGATGCCTTTGTTCTGCATGTAATTGACCTGGGAGTTCATACAATGGGTAATATCCATAGATGGCAAACTAAATTTCCCTGTAGAGCAATAACAATTGACTTGACTCGACTTGGCTGTAACCTCTGTTTCACTAGGGACAAAAGAAGAAGAAACTGGGGTGATATTGTGTGCTGAGAGGTTGCTTTGCTTGATTCGTATCTCTGTGTTTGGGTCTGAGTCAGATCACCTCTGATCCCTACTCCAGACCAGAGGGTGAAGTGAGCTCCTGGACCGGTTAATGATGCAGCGTTTATAAATAGGGCAACATCCATGAAAGGCATGTATATGAGGCAACAAAAAGCTGGTCATGGTAAATTTACAGTGCCTGTTCAGAATTCAACAGAAATTCAAAGAAGGTGAAGCTGATAGTATTAAGAGGTTTTAATGTACCATAACCATAAAACAAACATCACCAGAGGACACTGAGCTTAATACCATAATAGCACACCTCTTAATACCTATTATGTATGACATCATTCTTGATTAAAGCAATAATCCTGAATTCATAAGTGGTTTCTAATATTTTTATGGTGCCTTAAAAGCTATTTTGAGCGTAATTTAATTTTCCTACCGAAAAAGCAAATCATAACAACATATAATGAGACTGAAAGCAGTAATTAAATTAAATCCAAATGTTTTTATGATAATTCTTAAAATAATTGCCTTAGTGTTGAAATGCAAATTAGTTTTACAGGCAAATTTGCATGTTAAACATGCTCGAAACCAATAATTGATGAAATAAGATTTAGGTCATGATATATTTTGATGTATACTGAGTGAATCAACATCTGCAATGCATACTGGGAGGGTTATAATGAATTGCATTGTTCCATGAAAGCTGAATGTCTTTACAATATGTCCTCATTATGTTGACAAATGATCATAACGAGCAGCTTTTCAATGTTTCATGAACGCGGTATGCACTAACAACATCACATCACAGTGAATTGATGAATCAGGTTGTTAGTCAGATGTAAATGACCATTCCACTGCATTTCCACAACCATTACCAGGCTCTAATGAAATGCTCCAATATTTATGAGAGCTTTGACTGGTGTATCACCAGCAGGGGAGTATGACACATTCCCTAAAGGCTGGCATGGGTTCACTGTCCCTGTTAGGCTTTACATTGATTTCAGCAGATTTCTAAAGTGATTTTTGTAAGAGCATTTGCCCGGGATTAGTTTGCTCCTGAAAGCTCCATCAGAGCTTTGGGTGGGCTATTTAACAGAGCAGAGGCAGCGAGAGGCTCGCGTCCGCTCACTGCCCTCGCTCTCCACAGGTTTGCACCAGATAAAGAGGGAGGATTGGTTTCAGCCAAAGCTGATCTTCCATCTTGTGTGTGCGGGATTTTGGAGGTCAGGCACAGGTGTGTGAGTAGTCTGAATTCACGGACAATCCCTTTAAGCTCTGGTGGATTTGTTCTGTTTAGGCTTAGCCTTACTTTCTTGAGAGGGTTAGACATTTGGGAAGTGAGACAGTGGCTCAGGAGAAGAGGGAACTAAAGATGAAAGAAGTCTTCTGAGCATTTCATTTCTGAAAATATGTGATCTAAAATCCCATTGTATCATGATCAAATGTGTGCCAGCTCCTTTTTTTAGCAGAATATGAACTAAACATATCATGGCAAATGTTCATGTTACTGTAACTGACTCCATGATTCTGAGGCTTCAGTTGAGAAGGAAAAGTAAACAGCATATTGTATCTGCATGTTGATTCAGTTCCTCTAAAGTCCTTCTCTGTGCTGTAGCTTCCACCACTTACAGGGTGTTGAGTGGTAGAGACAAGGCTTTGAGATCACAAGCTGGAGCTGGCAGGCAGACAGCTTGGGATGGGGTGTACTACTGGGGGTGAGTCACCCTTAAGCACAAGCTGTAGAAGAGAGAAGAGAAGAGAAGAGAAGCAAAGAGGAGCGAAGAGAAGAGAAGAGAAGAGAGGAGAAGAGAAGAGAAGAGAAGAGAAGAGAAGAGAAGAGAAGAGAAGAGAAGAGAAGAGAAGTACCATCAAGATAAGAACAAATATCAGACTCTAAAGCAATGTTCCTTGTTGGAACCGTGAAATCTTTCGGGGGAATCATGTTGCCTTTGATATTCAAGATACTGCCTTCAGTTGAACGAAAGGATTGATTTAAAATTAGCTAATTTGCACTGTTTTTGGGCTGCATAGCTTCAGGAAGGAGAACTATGATACTGCAATTCTACTTCCCCAGTTGTATAAAGATAATTTGAATCAGAAGGCAGATGCCACAGGATTCATGGATACATCTAAGAGCAGCTTGGGATTTGGAAAACGTTAGCTCTGAAGTAACAATATCACCATTACCAACATTGCTACAATGGTGGGTCTTATTATGTTGGATGTCTACCAGCAGCAAGTGTTTTAAAAGGGAATAGAGTCAGACAGTTAAGACTTTCGTATGTGAGATCCCAAAGGCCAAATCATGTGATGCACCAGCCAAATAAATGAATGAATTAAATGTGGCATTGGGAACAAATTAAGGGGAGTAGTCTTGCCAAATGATTGACATATTAGTAGTATACAGTGTAATGGGGTGTTGCAGGAGATAAGGTTGTAAACCAAGACAAGCTGTATCAGCAAAGAGGGGTGATGAACGTATACAGAAAGTAGGCCCAGTCCCCCATTGTAGGTGTCAATCTCTTACTGGATGTACAATCAATCTGTGATTTACAAGTTTAAAGTTAATCTCTATCATTTTCCAATCTTTTCCCTTATTATGTGAAAATGAAATCTTTATATTGATGATCATAATGGCCATGGGTATTTGTCCTGCCTGTAGTACATATAGTGTGTTGATAAGGCTCACACTTGGTGTTGTTCCCGTCATTTTAAGCACACACATTTCTTGGAATAATTGTGATTCTACTCTCTGTGCATACCATTCCTTCCATAGCCCAAAAGCAGCAGGGAAATTGCTTATGTACCGTAGTGAACTTTACACGAGGAAGCTAGCATATCCCCCTAACAAGTTGTCATGTACTGTTCTGTGTGTCCCCTGCAGTCAAGGGTCTGCAGTGCTATGGCTGCAACATCATACAGGGCCAGAGATATGTGGACGTGGGCTGCTCCAACCCAGAGGTCATCACCTGCACCCACTCACACAAAGGCTTCAAACACCGTTTCTGTATCAAGACAGAGAGCAGTGAGTAAACCTACATGAAAATATTATTATGACTAATAAACTGAAATCATATTCACAATTTCTTATCTTCTCTTCATCCTCTAACTTAGTGAGTTAATGCATCTGTGTATGATACTTATTTGAAGAATATTTATGCTGAGGTAGAAGATTAAAATTAAATCATGATGAATTCACTCTGGCGTGCCACTGGACATTAGCATAATTGTTTTTAATCATACTTGTTCTTTGTCCGCTGATGTGAATATTGTATTGCTCCTTGCAGTGAGGATAGTTACATAACCCTACTTTGGTGTGCTTTGCTGAGTAAATTATAAGTCATTCATTGTTTGATGTTAAGTCAAATGGAGGATGTGGACAGCCGCGACAGGATAGTGATGGTCAGATGAGTGGTTCTGCTGATATCCATGGAAGCGTGGATGATCCAGCTGTTCCTTTGCTTGATGTCTAACTCAGCTCACTCATTAAAAGGGCTGATGAGGCACATTTTCCATTGGCTCAAAGAAAGAGAAAGCTCTGACATGGACTGACAACAGCCCATCCAATGCAGTATGACAAGCACTTTGTCAAAATCTTGAAGCAGTGTCTTGGTAGTAATCTGTGGCTAGTCAGCCTGTTAATCTTCATGTGACCCCGCCAAACCCAAATCTAACAGATGCTAGTGAAGTTCCATAAGAGTCTTAGAGTTCTGGTCCCCTTTGTCCTCACTCAGATGCAAGACATCTGTCCTTAGCCAATAGCCAGTCCAATGTCATTCTGTCCTAAATTAAATTAACTCTCACTTCTCCGCTGTCTCCAACCTATAACTGAAGTGAAGATTCTTGACTGGCAAAAAACATCTAAGCTTGACTAAGAATCATCTTTATTTAAATGAAGAAGCCGGGCTGATCTGAGCTGACCCGATCACTCTTCATTTTCAGCTTGGATTTTAAAACAACAACCTGAGCTTCCTATGTCAGGTTGCCATGTGTCTTTCAGGAGATCCTAAACGACAGAGATGTTGTCAGGTGCTAATCAAGTGCAAGAAGGTGATCGATAAAATTTCATTATAGAAATGAATTTGAATGAAAAGGGTGGAAAAGATGAGGTAAGGCTAGAACTCCCCATTTAGAATAGCTTTTATGCCAAGTATTGCTGTTCTCAGATCAGATTCTTACTATGCATTTTAGTTTCATTAGTTCTAAGATGTAAGAACTCAATCTAAAGATCACATGAACTGTATTACATTATTGTAGGTCAGTTATTAGTCCAGCTCTTTTCTTCAAGACTATATATGTGACACTCAGAAGCAGAACCTTAGATTAAGGTTTGACATGAACCACTGGAATGCTACAATGTCTTTGTATATTATTTGGGATTTTATCCTGATAAATAAAGATAATAGAGATTTTAATCTGGGCTTTACAATATTATCTGAATGTTTCGGCATTGCTTCTCCAAGTTTTTATGTACTGCATTTAAGAGAACAAAATGTACTATTTGTCAGAGGCTTGGTTTCTCAGCTGTGAGTACATATTCTGTGGAGTGTACCTTTAAGATCTCTAAACGTCTTCCTCATTACACACTTGCAGTATTTGGTGCTTACTTATGCTTTTTTTTCTTGCTGACCCAAACACCAGCTCGTCACTCTTCTCTGACTGACTGTCTCCCCCCTTCTGTCCCTCCAGCGGCCCTGGGTATTGTCCTGACCAGCGGTTGTGCCACATCCAGACACTGCCAGCAGCAAGAACTGCCAGGTGTGCGCATCCACTGCTGTGACTCAGACCTATGTAACAGCGCCCCCTCCTGGCACCCAAGCACACTCCACTACATCGGTGCACTGTTCAGCTTCTTGCTGCTGAGGATGTGGTTGTGATATGGAGTCAATCAGGAGAGGAACGCAACATCAGTGGACTATTACGGGAGAAACACTTTGTATTAGTTACTCTCATTTCCTCTCATAGGGCTGAATGAGAGTTTTACTCAGTATGGTGTTACTGGCGAGCACCTTGACATTGTAGCTGTTGTCACATAGTCAGACTAATGGCAAAATAACCTTGTGAATCTGTTTGATGAAACTAAACTGATGAACTCATCAGTGATTTTATTGTGCACATCCATTTACTCAAATGTAGCTTGAAGTACAGTTTATGGGACATCATGGGACATTTGTTGCCACGAAAGAAAGATCCTTGTTAGAGTCATAATGTCAGTTCATAAAAAGCTTTCAGTGAAGACAACGTTTATCAGCAATGCGGATAAACACTGACTTCAGTTTTATAAAGGTTTACATCCACTTGTGCTGTAAGACATATGTCAATTTTCTCTGTTAAGGAGTTGGTTATCTTCCTCAACATCAAATCTTTGTGTCCAGTATGTTTTTTAAAAAGTCACAGGCTATTTACTTTGCAAAATTAAAGATATTTTTTTAGTTTCCTGTCCAGTTCTCCAGGCTAAGCTTGGAAAAGCACACTGCATGTGGTTATATGTAGGATTGTAAGAAATATTGTACAGTGAAAGCATGTAATGTTGTGAATTACTGTATTAAAATGTTTCATATTTTTCAAAATAAAAATGCTCTGAACTCTGCTATTTTTGTTATACCAAGACACACCATGATGTCACATACTACACATATTCAGAGCAATCTAAAATTAATTGACATGCGCGAATAAATTAAACCGTGTTAAATAGTTAGACCAGCTGGTTGGAAAGTTATTTTATTCACACAAATATGTTTTACACTAGACAGAATAAAACAGAAATAGAACAACCATATTGGGCTGCTATGGTCATAAAAGGTAAGCTAATATTTACCAGTACACTTACACACAATGGCATTATTATGGCCATACAGACAATTTATAGAGGGCCTTTACTAGTTTAGTATCATTAACTTACACTGTGTGTTTACCTGTCATGTACAAAACACACTGTATTTGCTGATAGTAGTCTATGAAATTTAGCGTAAAAGAGGCAAAGGAGCATAAATTCCATCGTACACAAGAACATTTAGCTAGAATGGCTGCTGTCCACCTCCAAAAGTTTAATAAACAGCTCATAGGGCCACTTTCCTTATGCTTATTGTTTGCATGTGACAAATATGTAATTCTCTCTGATTAATTACATATCAGTTTGTTTTCCACATGGGAGACACACCAACCCAAGCAACGTTGTTGTGACTAGGCTATATTGTTCACTGTTTGTAAATTAAGCTAAACATTCATTGATTTTATATAGTTTCCTAAATTTGGAAACGGGGAACCAAATAAACAATACATTATTTTTGGGCCATAAAATGGTTTAGATGGACATAGTGGACTAAACCTCCCATCTCTGAATTAGAGTGATGTAAAGGTCTTTAAAGGCAAATATGACGGTGAAACAGCAGTGTAAGTGTAAAGACCCTGAACCCATGTCAGTCAGGTGTAATCAAATCCCTGAACCTTGATCCCCCTCTGTCTTACATATGATTTCACCTAAGTAATGATTTCACAATCTGATGCGATACATAATCGGTATTAAATGATGTACAAGCACAGTATGCATGCATACACCTGTGCAGGTGAGGTTGCCTTTCACGACACAGTGCACACTATTGGTGCACACACCGCAAATCGCCGCATATGATGCTCTTTGTCCCAGAAGCCCATTGTATACAGCGGAGGAAACCCTGTGCCGTGAGCAGCCATCTTGGATAGACAGATCATACTTGAGCCAGGATAACCTGCATTCCTCTTCTGAACAGCTCAAGAACACAAAGCTCAAAAGACTTAATTTCTGGTAAGGACAGAAAAAAAGGAAACACTTGAACACACTCATACACACGTACAGAGTGTCTGATAAACGTCGAGACACTGATATTTAAATTACGAAACAGTTGGAACAGTTTAGCCAGCTAAATGACAAGCTAACGACGCTAGCTAACAGATGGCTAATACTAGGTTGGTGTTTGTCGGTAGCTTTCAAGAACAGGAGATATTACCGAAAGCACCGTTTGTGGAATATTATTGTAGGCGACAAATGACTTGCTCGGCGATGACTAAATAGGGGTTGACAAGCTAACTAAGCTACGTATCTAACGTTACCATAATCCAACCACTGCAGCTAGCTGGTGAACTAGCATGCCTAAGCTATCGCTAGCTGTCGATGGTTTGCTCTATGGTGGCTATTGTGAAAAGATGCAGAAGCCACGTTAGTTTTATAAATTAGTTATACTAATAAGATGGCATTGGCTCGATTGTGTGTGTGTTGGCAGGGGCAACCGACTTACAGGCTGTAATTTATGCGATTTGTTGTCAAGATACATCTACAGATGACAGCAAGCAGGTAACTAACGTTAGCTAACGTAAACTTAGCTGTCAAAACAGCTAATCTAGGGCCGTGATGGTTATCAGAGACGATCATGTAGCTACCAATCAAGTAAATGTCACGTTTTATGTCCTTTTAAGCTTAGTAACACTACTTGCTTTTTGTGTGCTAACTAGTGGCTTAGAAATAACTAACCAAACGCTTGTCACTTGGCCGGTTGTTAAGCTAAGCTAGGCACCGTTGTTGGGGAGCAGGCATGACGTTAGTGTGTCAGATTAAAGAGTTAACATCAGATACTACTGTAGTGTCTGTTTGGATGTGTGTATACAGACCGTCTCTCTCTCTCCCTCTTTTAATTTCTTGTATAGAAGTGCTCATTTTTAGTGCAGCGTTACACATAAGGTCCGATAATTCCTCAGCCAACAGTGTGTTAGCCTACACTTTGGCTTTACTTTTCCAAACAACAGATGTGAATCATTTAGAAACGGAAGTTGGCGACAGAATAGACCCTTCGTGACTCAAACATTTGCCTTTATCTAACATAAAATGCCGCATCATTTCTGTTTGTTGTGCCAATGCACTCTCATTACAAGCAGGCTTGAGCTGATACTTGTGTAACAACGTTACTTACATATTATTTTGTATTGATGTTCTATAATCATAATAAATAAAGTAAACCATATATTAGGTTTGTATGTATTCTGATAGTGTGTCTGTCTCGCCTATAAACTGCAGTGATGATCTCATTATATTGTTTTTAGGGCTTGAAAGGAGTCACATGATTTGAATAGTGGGCCTGAACATCATGGGAGGCACTGTGGCTATACAGTATGTGTCATGATTTCCTGACAGCCCAGGGATTTGAATTGCCCACAAGTTGTGCATCCTCTCCTCTATAGGACGTGTCTGTTGAGAGGAGAAAAGGCAGGGCCAGTATTTCTCTGGAGAAAGATTCGGTGTGTTAAAGAGTAAAAAAGAAGTGCTGAGGCTGCAGTCTGGTCACATGGTCTTGACTCGCCTTCTCCTTGATGGATTCTCATGGGGTTTTATTTCTATGTAATGAGAGGGAAATGAAAAAAGGGGGTTGGGTCTCACTACTGAATCACATTTAGTTTTTACTCAGGTTGGGGGTAACTTACTTATAGCTTACTTTCCAGAGCACAGAAAACCGTCACAGTGGGTATAGAAATGCCACATGAGGGTCATGTGACAGGAGGCATTGTGGAAAAAAAAGGCCCTCAAATGTTAACCTAGGACTTTAAAAGATTGCAGTAGTGTAATTGTGTGACTTGTTCATGTTATCTGTTTCAATTTGAAACCTGCTCAGTGCAATTACACTGACTACACTGATCCTCAACTGATCCTTTATCTCATGACCTGCACACCACTAGTGGCCTTTGCCCAGGAACCACAGATGAAAATGAGATTTCAGTTATAGCTATTAGCGTTTTTGCTATAGCTAAAAGCGGATTTTCTAGATATAGGCATCTGGTACAATACATGTATTGTGCATTTTCCCTACTAAATAAACTAACAAACAAGCAAACCTAATTTATATCTTTTCATCATATCAATCAGGCTATGTAGAAGCCCTGATGTTTAAAAAGCTACTTCATACAGATTTCTTTAAGCTTCAGTTAGATACTTTGTGTTAATTGCCTGAGTAATTACCAAATGTCAGGTCAAGTTGCAGAGTTGTTGGGCGATTGCGAGTGTGAGCCAAGTCTTTCCTGGGGCCACCAACAAAAACATAGTTATAGCCTGCTCTGGAATCCCTACATAGTTCCTTACATTGTTTGAAATGATAAGATTCAGCAGCTTCTGCTCTTATCAAAACATTATATTTTTCTTCAGGTAATTAGAAATATACCTTGAGGTGTCTTAGTTTTCTAATTGTATTATTTATTCTCTGAAAATAAGGATACTCTTTTATTATGATGTTTTCAGGCATCGTATTTTTAGTACTTTCCTCAAAGGGTTGTTGGTGGCGTCATTATGAAAGGACCTGACCCAACACCATTTTTATTTGAGCAAATGTTTTGGGTGACACCTTGACCTGAATTAAGCTGAACTAAGTAGCCTTGCAGGCCCTCTTCCTTTCCTGTCTCCAGTCTTTGCTGTTGGTTGTGTCAGCATTAATCTGGCCAGTCAAACGTGGTCACTGAGCTGCAGATGCAGATATAGGGGCATAACACCAGCACTAGGCTCTGATGTGGCACAGTGATTTCAGTTTCCAGGAACTGCTTTAACTGCAGCACAGTTTTCACTGAACTGCGGATCACAGAAAAGCACTGGTTTAAGGTGGACTATCTTTGCCAGGAACACAGAAACCATCAGGCTGCCGAATGATTATGCTCCTGATTGTTCAGCCTGAATTATTTACTTATCTACAGCAGTTATGCTGTACGGCAGCACCTTGATACAGATTTATAGAGCAGCCTTTATTCAGCACAACTACAAAATAGCCTTGATGTGAGGAGATGGCATTGCAATGCAAATTTTATGGTGAAACTGTTCATGAGAAAAACTGCTTGCTTTCAAAAGCAGCTTAATTGATGTCATACATGACCCAATCATTTATTTATGAACAAATCTGTGCATGTTCAAAAAGAGCTTCTCCCCCTTGGCTGTTCGTCCAGCGTATTTGTGTGAATGCACAATTTAAATTGACTAGTAGTGGTGATATTGTGTGGTAAATCTGAAGGCTTTTCCCTACATGCTTTATCTGTGTGCTATGAGTGGAGTGTGAACAATGAAGCATCACTTGGTATCAGATAGGTGTCAGGGCTATTTTTAGCCTAGCTCTGAGCCTGTGATGCTGGAGGTGTTCCTCTGTACATGTAAGTGCCACACTGTTTACTTGTAGACAGACTGTGTCTAATGCCATCAAAATTAGCCGGTGTTGCTGTTTTGGTCTCTCATTATTAGAAGACGCATCACCTCCATGCACCCGTCACCTCCCTTGTCTACAGGTTTATACATTAGGTAATTTTAACAATGCCTACTGTCTCTGAAGTGTGGGCTACAGAAGACAGATGTACCATTATATTTAATAAATACATGTCACTCTTGGCCTCAGTGACTTCTGAGATTTCAGTCTTTAATCAAGAGAGCTCTATTTTTGTTGGGAATACTCTAATCACTTAGGCCCAGTGAACCAACCCACTTGATTTAATTTTCACTCAAGCCAAGTGAGTATTGGTGCATCGTGTGAAAAGCTGCCTGAGCTTTGAGCTCTGAAATATTTTTAATACTTAAATGTGAAGTATGCTAACTTCAGCTGTAGTTATAGCTAACAGTTGGGCTTCCCCATGTTAAATCGAGTTGTGTTGGGTATAATATACATAACTCTGTTAAAAATGTACATCCTGGTGTATTATCTTTACCGTATTCTATCAGTTAGCTAACAGGTGGCACTCTTGAAGGGAAAAAAAGTTTGAAAATAGATTTTGACTCTACAAAGAAATTAGTTTCTGTACTATTGTGCAAGTAATACAAAGTAATATAAAGGGGTAAGGAATCATTAAGGATAATTAAAGTACCAGTGTGTAGGATTCAGTGGTGAAATTGTAGATTGCAACCATTTGAATACAGCTCAGCCTTGGCGAAACTTGGCAGTTCAACATGACGAGTATAAGTTTGTAGATGAACAGTCAGGTTGACACAAGTGGTAAGCATGCATTTACATTTAAGAAACTTAAGCAATTTGTCATTGGTCACCAGACTGTTAAAAGTAAATGACTAGGGTTGTTTTTTTCCCTGCATTTATTTATGTAAGCAGAAATATGAAGTGTGTGGGAAGTGCAGTCATACCACCTCCTAACTGACCAATCAAATGAAAAATATTAGTGTTGACTTTCATTTTTGGTTGCTTGTACAGTCTCAACTGTTGCAACATAGGAATTTAAAAGTAAGTGAGTAATCCCATGATCATGAGCTACGGGCAGATATTTGTGGTTTTGTTCAAGGTCACACTTGCTGATATTGGTTAGCACCATATTTCTAAACAGGTCATTTAAAATGATTTAATACTTACTCAAATGTACTGGACTGTTTACACACAATGTATGTGTTTTGATATGTTAATTGACATTCCTACAGAAGTATATTATTGCTGTACTTAAGCATGCATTTTTAAAGAATCTGGGCTCACATCATTATGGTCCTATTGCTCTAATAGGATTATGGCCTTGTAGAATAACACTTTCTCCTTAATGACCAATTTAAATCCAAGCATGTACAGAACTTGCTGTGTTTTTATTTTTACGTAGACATGCGCAAATTAGATTTTTAAGCCTCACTTCAAGTATAGTACTTGTTTTTTGTCACTTGTATTTAAATGTATAATACATTTGGTTATAAACTGTGTAGCACAACTGTTTTGTATTTTTTTTTTCATATTTATTGTTGATGCGTAACCAAAATAAGTCCTTAATGCTGATTCAGTAACCTAGCATTCAGAATGAATGTGCTCCGTGTTGAGTTTTAGTGCTACAGGTGACTGTTGTCATTGTTTGTAAGATAAAAGAAGGATTTTTACCCAAAAAATGTAATTACATTAAATTGCATGCATTACCTGGACAGCTTTTAGATAGGAAAGCTGCAAATTACCTTTACTGACAGCTTAAATACCTAAATCTTCCTCTCTTCTCTCTCTTTCAGAGCCACAATGGCCACCGCACCATACAACTACTCCTACATTTTCAAATACATCATTATCGGTAAGTGAGCAATGCCAGTAAGTATTTAAGGTCTCCAGCGCCTTGGAGCCAGTCTATTGATATATCCCACTTCCAAAGAAAGGTCTACTTGAATCAATTTTGTGTTTACTGTAGTGTATGAAAATTGACAAACACATTAGTCAAAGAAAGCTGTTGGTCCACTAAGGTTTTCAATGGCTTATTATATCATCTTATATCATCTTTGCAAAATCAATTGCCAATATTTTAATGCCTGACTACACTGTTCTCTTATGAACAGTTACAGTGCAAATAGATTTGCATTATATTCCACCTTTGTTGAGATGTTTGTTAACACAGGGGCTCTAAGTGAACCTACTACTGCTTTTGCTTGTACATACATTTACAGACAGACATATGCATAAACACACCCACAGCTCCAGGTTATTTATCCTCCTCTTCTGTGAAACCTAAAACACCCTGCCTCAAAGCTAACACTCGGCTGAGATCTTAAAGGTGTGTGCGGATGAATCAGCCTGGAGAGATGGTGTCTTGCTGCTTTACTTTTTTCTCATGTTTTTTTTTCCTTCACTAAACAGTAATGGAAACTTTCACAGTTCATTATTGAAAGTATGATTTTAAGATCTCGTGATCCTGCTTCCTGTTGGATTTGATACAGTTTTCTAAGCTTCTGCTTTGTGTTTTTATCCAAATTACTGATGAAGGTTTTTCAGCATTTTCTTGTGTGTGAGAGTATCCCTTGAAAGCATCATTCCTAAATTTTTGCCACACTTTTAATACCAAGGTAGTCAGACAAAAGTATAGATTTTTGTCAGTATTATTCACCGCTAACACAAATACATTTGTGTGCATTTGTTTGCTTGCATCATTGTTTTTAGGTCCAGTTTTAAATGAAGGACTCGGGAGTCACAGATGATTACACAATCAGGATCAAGACACAACACAAATGTACCATTAGTCTGTGTTAAAATGGCTATGAACATGTATTGTCAAACTCTGTTGGACAGTACACATTATATTTAAGTCATTTTCCATCACTCTTACTGCTCCACATTAGATTTTAAGTATCATCGTTGCTTACTGTCCCTGGGGGCTGCTACATCATGCATGGGGGCAACACTGCAGACTTGAATAGAGAATTGTTCTTTTATGTCCTTGGTTGACCTGAGGTTTTTTGTTTTTTTTCTCTTCTGTCTCTCTTCTCCACAGGGGACATGGGGGTAGGGAAGTCATGTTTGCTTCACCAGTTCACAGAAAAGAAATGTAAGTGCTGCCATGATTTTGACTCCTTTTCATCATTGCTTGATCCTCGGTGTATGTAAGGTTGCCAGGTTCAACTAGAGTGCCTAAATCGCTTTAGATTTCTTTATACGCCAGCGGAAGTCAGCGGCATAGAAGTCGAGTGTGAGCTCAACAGTGAGAGACTCTTCTTCTGTGTGTGTGAGTCAGCTGCAGCCTCCCCATTACCATTCAGCTCCGTTTTGTTTAGTGCTACTATTAACAAGCCAGATGCTGTGTTCCTCATTCACTCGCCACCATCACATCCTGCGTACACACACACACACACACACACACACACACACACACACACACACACACACACACACACACATTGGAGTGATTTAGAAATGGTTTTCAGTGTCAGTTTTTAATGAATTTTGACGGTTTCGGGGTTGATACATAAAATTGACAACTGTGAGTATAATGACTCTAAAGACTGTGATTGATTATTGATGCACCTGCTGGCTCTCTGCTCTGGAAAGACACATTACATCATTGTAAGCAAAAATTAGGTACGAGTTGTTTCATCAGCCTGATGAAGGAAGAAAAATGTCAATACATTTCCTGTCAAACTAAGTGTACATTTCTTTTCAGTTTAAAACTTGAATAAGATGAAACGTTGCTAATTCTATCAAAAGGTGAATAAATTGAAACATAGAAACAGTGAAACTAATTGACACAAAATATTCTAATTCAATTTATGGTTAACCTCACTTCCTCTCCCCAGTCATGGCGGACTGCCCCCATACAATTGGTGTTGAGTTTGGTACAAGGATAATCGAAGTGAGCGGTCAGAAGATCAAGCTGCAGATTTGGGACACAGCGGGGCAAGAGCGCTTCAGGGCCGTCACCCGCTCCTACTATCGCGGAGCTGCAGGGGCACTCATGGTCTACGATATCACCAGGTACAGGATACTGGTTATGTGTCAGTGTGTGTGGGAGATACAGTTACATGGTCTTAACTTTACACCAAAGCTTTCATGTGACGTATGCGACAACCTTTTTTAATTTAATGGATTTTTTATAAAACTATAATACTTGTACTTAAGAGGAAGGTTAATGGAAGCAAACACATCTGAGAGTCAGAGGCCTCCCTCCTGAACAAATATGAACAATTTGTCTTACAGCTTGTGTCTGACCTTCTTGCCCAAACTGTTAGATGGCAGTGTTTGTTATGTCATGCATGGTTGCTGTGAACACATCTGATAATTCCATATCCTGTAATTAAATGGTGTGGATTTAATAACCGGTTGTTATATTTGTGTTATTCTCTATAGTTCAAGTTTCGTTATTGTTGGATATGGTCCAGTCCCATTTAGAGGGTACAGTGTGTCAGTGCAGTGAACTCCAGTGCTTTTGTGTCTGCAATACCTTGCTGAAAAACAACTTAAAGACAGTTTGGTAGAACTCATTTGTACTTCAGGGCCAGTTTCTTTGTTACTCATTGACACAGTGGTTGTCATTCAGATCCAACTGTAATGCTGAAGGAATGGTACATTTATTGGACATAAAAGATAGTAGATTAGGCTGTAACTTGTTTATGCTAGATAGTTAGGGTTGTCAGTTACAGACAGAAAGCAGTGGGGTTTGTATGTTTCACCTGTGTGAAACTGCATAAATATATTTAGAACCCCCAGATTCTTTACTCTTTGTAATGATGCTGCCCTGCTCTCATTGTTACACCATCTTTATGATGTGGCAGCTGCAGAGTCTTTCCTGATCCCTCCTCAGAGATGGCATGATGTTAAGTCTTTGCCTGTCGTCATAGTAACCTCTGTCCCTCTGTTGATGTCATGCAGGAGAAGCACGTACAACCACCTCAGCAGCTGGCTGACTGATGCCAGAAACCTCACCAACCCCAATACTGTAAGTACACAGATTAACATCCTTTCATTTTGCACACTGCAGTTATTGTGTGTGTCTTCTGCATATCTAAACTGTGTCTCCCTGCTCTCTGTTTATTTTCTGTGTCATTCCTCTTATTTCTTTAAAGTTATACCCCTTTTAGTCACGTCCGCTGCTTCATTTCCTCTGTTTCCCCCTGTGTCATTCTCCCCTCCCCTGTTTGGAGCCACAGAGCCCTGTCCATTTCTTAAATTGGATTTTGTGGTAAATATGATTAGCTCTAAATCATACTGCTCTCATTTACTGTTCCTTCAATATGCCACTTCCACTCCAGGTTTTTAACATCAAGTGGAAAATGTTTATCTGGTTTATAAACAACAGAGAAGTCTAGCTATTTTCATACACATGTATGGGTTTCTTGTGGAACTGTCTTTTCTTTTGCTCATTTTTATGGATAAATGTGACCCCAAGGTAAACCATATTATGTTATGAATATCATCATGAATATCATTTAATGAGTTCTTTTGGGGGTAAGGGGTTTCTGTCAAGTGTTCTTAGAAACTATCCACAGAAGCCTATTAGCCTAAGCTGTTTTTTTGCTGAAGTAGCTTGTCTCGACCATGCGGTGGCAATGTTGCTGTCTAGTTATGGTCTGTGACACAAGTGTCAACATGTGCTCTTGCTTCAGGAGATGTTTATTTGGCTGCTGTTGTTTAAGATGGGAAACATAATGAACACATTATTTGATCATTTGACTGACGCTGTCGTCATCTGAATGAAAATAAGTTATGCAAGACCTCTTGTAATTTAGCAAGAGCTTCTAAAAATGTGCTCCCACTTTAACCAGTAACAGCCAACAAAACACAAGATGTAAATTAATTAATGTCAGTATCAAATCAGCACTCTCTTTTATGCAGTGGAAATGGAGCTCTCTTATCATCAAATTTTCCCCACAACACTAGTAATCATTAGTTGCTGACACAATGAGAATCTTTGTGAGAAATTCTGAAATAAAACAGGGAAAAAAACAGTTAAAAGACTTGAATGGTTTATGCTGAACATGCAGCAGCTCCAGAAGAGTCTTAAGGAAGTTCATTACATTACAGGTCTAATTACATCACTGTTGCTAGGGGCACCGTCTTGTGTGCTCATGTGGGGGTGTCAGTTCCTCAGTATATCTCTCAATTGATCTCTTAACAGACAGCTCCACAGAATAACAACTGCTTTAGGAAGAGTCTTCCTACACTGCCTTCAGCTTTCTTAGCTCTCGGAGGCTTGGAAAGCACATTTCTCCCTGAGAGACCATACCGTCTACATGATTTTCTCATTCTTCTGTTTTGTCAATTTATTCTCAGGTGATCATTCTCATAGGAAACAAAGCAGACTTGGAGGCCCAGAGGGATGTCACGTATGAGGAAGCGAAGCAGTTTGCCGAGGAGAACGGTGAGCCAGACACAGAACAGCGCATGTTCGGAAGGCTGAAGAAACGGTTTCCCATGCTGTTATACTCTAATCATGTTTAACTAATCATAAGACACTCAGACTCTTTCTGGAAAGAAATCTTCCAAAACTGCAACGGTTTAAAACATTTCAACAAAACAATAATCCCAGGAATCCGAACAAAATGTCCAAATATTTAGAGTTAAAGTGAGATCCAGCCTGTGTTCTTTTCACAATGTTTATAATCGTAGCCCCTTATTATTGATTTCAAGAGACAAAAGTGAAGATTAATATCCTTCTGAGTTTATATTGCTGAGACATAAACTAGGAGAAGGTGACTTGAGGAAAGATTAAGTGAGCAGAGAAATGAACTGAAACGGGGGGGGGGTCAGTGAGAACTTGGTATTTGAGGCTGTTGTGAGCTTGTAACAATGTTTTTTACTGACTGTCATTTTGTCTGTTTTATGTTGTACAGGGCTGTTGTTTCTGGAAGCCAGTGCAAAAACGTAAGTCTGCGCAGCTTCAGCCATTTCAGTGACTGCAGGACATGAAATATCACCTTGCTTACATTCTTAAACTCCCAATTGTCTCCTTTCTCACGTTGGTGTTTATGCTCTGTGTTCAGAGGTGAAAACGTTGAGGACGCCTTCCTGGAAGCTGCTAAGAAGATCTACCAGAACATCCAAGATGGCAGCCTGGACCTGAACGCTGCCGAGTCGGGGGTCCAGCACAAGCCCTCGGCCCCTCAGGGTGGACGGCTAACCAGCGAACCACAACCCCAGAGGGAAGGCTGCGGCTGCTAATGACCAAGCAAAACCCCCCTTCATCCTCCCTTCCTCTCTCTCTCTCCGTCTGTCCTGCCCGCCCTCCCTCAACCATCTCTCCCCCCCACCCTCTCCATCCATTCCTCCACCTCCGTACGTCCATCCACCCTCCTCCATTACTGCACCAGGAGCTGCATAAAAGCATGGGCTGCGGAGGGAAGGAACGGGGGACGGATATCGACTTGGGCCAGACTGAGCTGGGCTGTGTGGACTACATCGCTTCCCTCCTCCTCCTCCTCCTCCTCCTTCTCCTCCTCTCTGCCTGTCTGTCTCCCTTTTTGCCGTCTCACTCATCCTCTTTAAACTCTGTCTGTGTGTCGTCGTCCCATAACTTTCCTCTTTCGCTCCCCTCCACTCTTTGTGCACCATCCAGTGTAGTTCCCCCCCCTCACCCGTCATAGAATCGTAGACGCCACCACGCATTACACGGGTTACTGACACTTTAGATAGATGTAATGTTCATACGATAATGATAAACCGAGACTGTTTTTTATGTTTGGTTTTATAGCTATATATGACATGTAAACACCGCATTAAGTTTCATCCAACTCCGATCAGTTCTTTAAGAATCGGCTCTAAATTATATTCTCAAACTCCTGACGCCTTTCCTGCGTGGTTTACCAATCCAGCATTTTATCGAGGCATGCGGGTGTGATATCTCACTCGCTGTTAATTTTTGCGGGATTTGACAGCGAGGGCAGTGAAGTAGTGTATCATGCAGCCACGCAGTTAAGAGGCTCTTAAGTGTGGCGTCAAAGAATGTGTAGCCCAGTGAGCTATTTTCAGCAGGATTCAAACCTGCTTGTGGCTTTTAATTCTGTTTCTGCTGCTCGGCACAAAGTGAGTTTCTTTGCACGATGTGGCAACACTGATGCTCTCAGGAGAGAGAGAGGGGAAAAATATTTAAAAACCCAGGAATTACCCACAAATTCCTTGTGGATGATTCCTCAGTCTCTCCCCTGAGATATCATAGGAAGGAATATTGGGTGTTTTCCAGCTTGTCTGTGTGTGTTTGTGAGTGTCTGTGCATTAAGAAGTTGGGAGTTTGTTATGACTAAGATAAAATGACACTTTAACAAACAATGGCATTTCTGTTTCTGATAGAAAGATTCATTTACATGTTTCTTTGCACCAGCTCTCCCTCTCCTCACCCATCTGATCCGAAAACTCTCCCCCAGGTCATATCAACAGTTTGTCTTTACCAGCATTTTCTGTCATTGTTTGTTGCCTTATTATAATTAATGTTATTACTCTTTAATCTTCATTGTTTTCGCTGCACTCGCTCTTCACACTGCTGTTGGACCCGATTCAATATATCAACCCTTTTTTAGAATAATTATTGCATTTTACTGGATAACCGAAAATGTACAAGTGGTGGCTCACATGGTCTAAATATCTATCAGCAGCATGGTCTTAAGCCCACATCTCGACTATTCAGATGTAAAAACAAACTGTCAACACTCCTTTATCTCAAGTGCTGCACTGAAGAGCTGATCTGTTGTTCATTTGGGCGGTTGTTTCTCTGCCTTGTATAATACAACACCAAGCAGCATGTCCCCCCCCCCCATCCGAAACAGTGAAATTGTCGAAATCCAATTATGCTTATTTTTTTTTTTCCAAGTACAATTTTTCTGTACCATAGTGATTCCCTGATTGGACAGCTGTACATATTGCTTCTTAACTATTGGTGATGACCTCGCTACTTGGGATTTAGAAATTTATTTGCTGGCTCTGCCAAGATCTGTACAGTTGATGTGCTAGTGGGTTGCCTGTAATTCATGCTTGGGAAATTCTGTAACATAGTTTCTATTAATAAATGTATGTAAAGGACAGACACCTAGACACCCAACCACCCCCAACCACCCTGTCTGCACACTACTGAACCCGTCGATTGGTTGAGGGGAGAGGAAGTGGATTGAGATGATGTGCAAACTAGTATTTATGTCTGCAAACTTCTATTCCTCATTTCTGTATGGAGTGGAGAATGGGGCACTTTTTATGTTTATATTCTGTTTTCTTTTTTCCCACCCAGTCATTGCTCCTCCACATAGGAGGGGCCTGCATCGCTGTCTTAACTTTTGGGGAGTGGGGATTGGTTTGTTATTGTGGGAAGTCGGTGGGCTGGGTCTTCCTTTTTCCTGTGTCCCACCTCTTTGCAGTCTGAGTGACCACTTCCTGCTTTTGTCTGTCCACAAGTACAAAAAAAAAAGTACATATGTATAAATTTTTAAGGAGCTGTGCTAACATTTAAATGCGTTCTTGAGTGTATATGATTTTAAAATGTTGACATTTTGATTTTAATGACAAAATACTCTAGACAGAAAAAATAAATTATACATAACCTGTTGCTGTGTGTCTGTTTCTTGATCTGTCATTGGTTCTACAGAAACAGGCTTTAATAAACAGTCTGGAATTGAAATACAGAAAATGGTTTCTCAAGTTGAATTTTAACTACTGCCACTTTACTGAAGATAAGGTCACACAGAAACAGCACTTCACTCCATAATGTGTTTCAAGTAGCACAACGGCTTTGTATTTTATTGCAACAAAAATTGCACCAAGGCTAGAGGGAGAAACAAATAGGAAAAAGAAAAAATATTTACAAAGGAAAGCAAAGTTTGTCTACAAAATTGGTGAGGAGGCTTAGACACAAAAGTAGAGTAGTGGTATGGTTGGTAAGGGGGAGCAATAATTAAAACAAACCACAAAAAAGAGCCAACACTGACAGTACCATGTTGAAGTCAAGGCAGCTTGTGGTTGACTTGTGTCCTCAGGCATCGCAGTCAGACGGCACGTGGGGTGAGACGACTACAGCACAAATACTGGAAATGTCCAAGAGTTGAAGACGAGCGTAAAGGAACGTTGGTCGGTGTTAGAGTGGAATTTCGTGGGTACTTTTAGTCTATAATGATCGGCTTCTCACTTATACATTATTTTGTAAGACAGCATAAACAAACATTTCAGTCCAGTGTTTCCCCCAGGATATATATTTTGCTGGGGTGGAAAGGCCTCTGAAACAGCATTTAGACCATGTGACATGAACCCTCTATCCAAACTAATTCTTTCAGGCAAAGAGGCCCTTCAGTGGTCGGAGAAACACTGTTTCAGTCGGTGATCCCTCTTTACAGAGAAAAACAGCATGCTGCTGCACGGCCAAACTGCTACTGATGGCTTTTGTGACTGGCATGTAGAGAAAGTTGAATCAAAGTGTTTTTTTTTTTTTTGTTTTTTTTAAAAAGGTCCAGTCTAAGGACAACATAACACAACAGTCAGATCCACTGAGTTGCAGATCGTGCACCCTGGTCCCTCTCCAGTAAAGACTGGAGACAAAAGTTTTTGGTATGGCAATCAAACATTTAAATCCAAAAAAACAAAACAGAAACAAATCTAACTACATTCCTGCACTTGTAAATTGGCAAGTCTTAAACAGATCTGCCAATAGTGTTCAAGGCACTATTTGTTACCCAGGTGTGCAGTGAAGCAAAAAGGTGAAGGCCAGAGGCTCATTCTGCCTCATTTGCTTGCTCCCATTATTATTTTATGGCACATGGTTGCAAATACTGCAAAAAAAATAAAATAAAGCATTCATACAGAACAAACACTAACACGTTTTCTTCACTCAGCACACAACCACTGATCACTGATGACATGGTACAAAGCAATGGAAAATGTTGGGATGTGTTGGACAGAAGCATCAGGTTGTGATTCCGGACGCTCCCCAATTCTTACAGGTGATAACAGAAAACCATGATATCAGTAATTTTAGTGTTAGAAGGCATCCTAGAACAAGATGAGGTTAGGTGTTTTGTTTTTGTTCACTGACATCAGCATTGATGGAACAAACACGGACAGTGATGGAAACAAATATCACAGGCCTTCTTTTCCTACTAGTGTCACTGATAAAGGGGGAAAACACAACTAGAACACGTAAGACATGATCATTTCAAAAATGATTGGTGAAAGGTCATGTTGATAAAGAATTGGCCCCTATACTCTCATTAAGGCCAAAAGATAGCGTTCATTAATGGTTAAGGCTTTTCAATATTGCAAACACTGTCTGACGACATCTAGAGAAAGATTCCTTTGATTCCATCCACAATAACCACAGGCTTAAGTGTTTCAGAGCGTACTGTAGTGGGAGACCTACACTCTGCTGCGGCTCTCTCGCAGGCTTTACCCTCAGATCTCCGACATGAACTCAGGATGAACCGCAGTTCATGCGCATGCTCAGAAAAAAGGGTAATAAGATACAGTTCATATCAGTTTTATATTTTGGTAGTCTAAGATTTGTATGGCGCTACCTCTGAACAATGTCACTGATCTCTTTGACAGAGGACAGCAGCTTGCTGAAGTCCTGCTGTGCATTGGCGCCCCCTGTGGCAGTGGGGCAGATTTGCAGCTCACGCAGGCTGTTCTCAAGCTTGTTGATGGCCTCGCGAAAGGCAAACTTGTTCCTCATCTGCTGTATGGAGTCGACGTAGCTCATGCAGTACTTCGACAGGTTCTTGCCGGCCTCTAGCACGGCGCTGTGGCTACCCGTCTGCTCCGAGTTGCGGCAAATGGCTGCGCGGAGCAGTTCTGTGCCTTCCAGCACCATCTCGCGCGTCACGGCTGAGTTGGGGGTGCGCTCGGCAGCCTGGCGGGGTGCAGTCTTGCGGAGGGAGCGTCGTGTGTTCACTAGGGGGATGAAAGCAGTCGCCGTGGTCTGATCGCCGGGAGAGGTCAGGGAGGAAGAGAAGCCGCCGAGGCTCTGGCTGGAGAGGGAGGTGGTCACTGAAGTGGAGGAGGTGGAGGTCTTTAACGGTTGAGGTTTGGACATGGAGCCCAAGGGCAGCTTCTTGGAGCCTTCGCTGAGGGGTGAGCGGGCTTGGTCACTGGCAGTGGTTGTGTGGTGGGGCTCTGAGACAGAGGGGATGCCCTTAGCTTTGATGTCTGAGGTGGTGGATGAGGGGGAGGGAAGTTCTTGAGTAGGGCTGCGGGAAATCTTGCCCGTTTTGGCATTGGTGGGTGGTGGAGGTGGGGCTGGTTTGGGTTTCTGTAACTTTCCTCTTTCCCTAATAGATGAAGAGTCCACAGTGTGCTTGTGTCTGCGGGCCCTGCACTCTTCTCCAGCTGCTCCTAAAGCAGGAAACACATTGGGTTTGAGAAGCTCAGCGTGGAGAGCGCTGGTCTTGGAGTTCTCCAGCCCCGTCACCCCTGGTCTCCTGACCACCTTGGGTGTTAATGCCTGGGGACTGGAACCAGGACTGGGATCAGTGTCTTTGCCTAAGAAGGCAGAGGAAACATCTGATGATGTGTTCAGACGCGGCGGAGGAGTTAGGGTGCCCATCCGCGGGGCATTCTCCCCTTTTTGCTCACTGGTTCGCTTGCGTGGCAGAGCTGGCTTGCCCCCGAAGGTGCCTGAGTCAAAGTGGCGCTGGCCGAGGTCTCGCGGCAGTGTGACAGACTTCCACTCAGTGCCATCTGAGCCGGTGGGCAAGCTGGAGGACCAGAGAAAACGCTTGGAGTTAGACATGGATTCCTCCTCGCTGGGTGGCGTAGTAGCTGCTTTTCCTCCAGGACCGGGCACTGCGGGAGCTCCCTTCTTCCTGGGAAACAGAGGTCCCGGGTAGGTAGGAGCCCCATTGGTGATGCCCCCTGCCCCGTTATTGTTAGTACTCAGGAACTTTGCAGAGTCGAGGCCATGCGTGACGTCATTACTGGCCAAAGACGCACCATTGTTGAAGGCGTCACTGTCTCGGGGATCTGGAGTCACGCCCCTCCTGTCGGGGTAGACATCCATCTCTCTGAACGAGGAGCTGCGTTTGGGCGGAGCTGGTGCGTTCTTTTTCTTTTTCTTGATGAGACTGAGAAAGCCACGTGTCTTGTCCTTGTCTTTGGGTAGCAGGCGGTCATCCTCATTCAGGTTACTGTCCAGGAGGGGGCGCTCTTTCCTGGGGAGCATGGGTGAGGACACAGCTGCCTCGGGCTCCACTGGGTCTGAAGAAGAGCCCAAAAATTATCAGTGATAAAGAAGAATAAATACTTTCACTAACTACTACAATTACAGCATTTTCCTTTTGCTCAAACATATTTACCTTTTAGTATAAAGATTAAGTTCACTGCATACGCTATTCCTGTCACATATTTTAGAACAAATTGTAGCAGCAAGGGCGGGAGGAGCAGTGGGTGCGAGTGCATCTCACCTGGACTGTCTCCATCCCGGTTGTCCATGTTTTTGCGGAGAGTTCTGGTTTTGGTGGGCAGCTCTGGGGCCTGCTGGATGGAGCCTAGTGTCCCCTTCTTCCCTTTCTTGCCCAACTCCTTCTCCACCTCTAAAAATACAATTACAGTCAAGATTTTACAAGCGACCAAATATAACTTTCCACATCTTAATAACTACGACAGAAGAACCAGTATCTTTTGGATATCAGAAAATAACAACCACAAGGAAAGGTGCTTTGGCTATAAAAGAAAGCAGCACTGACCATCAGAGATGCTGGACTCCTGGAACATGGTCTCAAAGGCTTGGTGTGTTTCAGCAAAAGATGGTCGTTCTGAAGGGTTCCACCTCCAACCTGACAGGAAGACAAACATTTTTTAAAATAAAACAGTCCTTCCAATAGAACAGAGTGCCTCTAATCATATAGATAGATGAGTTTTGTTACTCACAGGCTGTCATGAGCTCATAGACCTTCTCGGGGCAGCCCTCTGGTCGGTCCATACGGTAATCTTTCTCCAGCAGCTCGTAAACTTGGGAAAGGTCGATGCCGGGGTAGGGGGACATGCCGTAGGTGGCGATCTCCCACAGCAGCACGCCAAATGCTGGAGATGTGGGCACAAAGCAGTTAGTTGTGTGGCTCATGCAACAATCAACAACAGAAACATGTCAAGAATGAAATGACTGGAATGTAAAGTCATGCTGGGAATATGTGCAATAGTATAATGAATAAGAATTGTTCTCCCTTGTTAAACAGGAACCTGAAAGTAATTAACTACTCAAGGAGGAACATCAGGAATACATTTTAGGATTGTCTGAATTCAATCAAACTTACCCCAGACATCAGACTTAATGGAGAACTTATTATAGGCCAGACTCTCCGGAGCGGTCCACTTGATGGGGAACTTGGCCCCAGCATGAGCTGTGTAGGTGTCTCCGGTCATTAGCCTGCTCAGGCCGAAGTCTGCAACCTTCACCAGGTGGTTCTCCCCGACCAGACAGTTACGGGCAGCTAAGTCCCTGCAGGAGACAATACAGAGAGGCGAAGGAGTGATAAACAGGAGGGCATGGTGGAATCCTGACTCTTTACAATCAGAAACAGACAATAATCTGCTCCAATCAATTGTGTGTTATTACAACATCCACTG